TTTTTGGGTCCGCCACTTGATACATAAAATCATTATTTTAGGTATATAAAATTGGTCCATAAAATACTACTGGAAATTATAAAATTTTCGACCACCTGAAAGTAATCTTAAATCAAGTCGAAAGCCTTGTTCTGACCACTTTTGGTATCCGGAAAAACCTTTATTGCTATTTCCGACCACTTTTACTTTCGACTTGATTTAAGATCACTTTCAGGTGATCGGAAATTTCATAATTTTCAGTAGTGAAATAATGTTGTAACTATATAAATCACAACTGCCGGTGGCACTTATATTAGATGTAGTATTACAGAATGTATCTTCCAATATTACAGCTGCATTCTCCGTTGGAAATGGTCAAATAGCAAAACCAATATGGGTGCTTGGCAATAGGCTGTTACTTGATACGTGATAGTTGATAGTTGATTGATTTAGTTGATAATTAATAACTAATTATGTTAGCTGGTTTGACTAAGGAATTGAACTAATTAATAGTATTATTAGCTAGTTGTTAGTTATATAAAAGTGTCTATTAAATTAGTACTCTTAGTTTATTACATGTAAAATGATGTATAATGACATAAGTGTATTGTACTATCTACTTAGCTCTTAAAGTATTTTTATAATTTATTGTTATCGTTGTGTTATTATTATTATTATTATTTTTTATTTTATTATTAATACTGGTATAATTATTAAGAAATACTCAGTAGTTAGTAATAATTTAACATAATGATTAACACAATTATTTATAGACACATGTGTGTGTATGTCTTAGACAAAGAGTCCGTTTAGATATTGGGACCATTCCGATGATATTAAGAATGTAAATCTAAACCAAGTGGCTTGTAGTTCACTGGTATCAGATTGCTCCCCTATGTGAGAGATCTAGGTTTTGAGCCTGAGGCCCATAGTTTGTATGGGTATCCCTCTTGACAATTTATATCCTACACCAAGGCGCGCGTTGCACTGTGCGCCCAGATGCAAAACGACGTCGTTTTAATTTTTTTTTTTTTTTGAAATTTCCCGCCCCAGTGAATGGCAGTTATTTTTTCTCTAAAAAAAATCCTTGTTCAAAAATGTACATAATGTTATACTAGAATACACATAATTGTATACATGAATGTACATAATTATATAACAAAATATACATACTCTTTTTAAAAGATAATACACATAATCTAGCATAATACATAATAAACATAAACTTTTAGCATAATACACATCAACTCTTAACATGATACACACAAATTTTCTGATTCGGATGTACATAATTGTATAAAAAGAATGTACATAATTGTATAAAAAAAATGTACATAACTATATGAACAAATACACATAATTGTATGAACAAATACACATAATTGTGTGAACAAATACACATAATCTCAGCAATTTCCTACCGCACCTCCCAAAACGACGTCGTTTTGGGAGGCGCGCGGCGCACAATGCTATGTGCGCCGTGGTGTAGGGTATAATGATTGATCCCTCTTCCTTTGTAATAATAATAAAAAAAAAAAAAGAATGTAAATCTAAATAAATATTGAGTTTCGGCAATTATAGTTTTGACATTCAAAGTTGGTACTTGATTTATTGATATTTTTTGGCAAATTAAACTAGGAACCATGATCCACAACATTATATTGAAATATGGAGTATTGACAAATGTTATATTTTTATTATATTGAATATTTATTTATAATAAACTAAAACTTAACTTTTAGATAGTATATATACCAAAAATTGACATTCAACATATTAAAAATGATTTTTTTAAAACTTAATTTTTAAAACCAAAAATTGACATTCAACATATTATGAGATGGTTGACCAACGAAATTTCGATGGCGTTTGGAAATCTTTCATGCGGATTCATGTGCGTATCGATGTAACAAAACCTCTGAAGAAGTGTATGTGGATGAAGAGACCTGGTGGTGATTGGTTCTGGATCGATTTACGCTACGAATGTTTACAATCCTTTTGCTTCTATTGTGGAGTGATTGGACATGGGGAACATTTTTGCTCTCTGGCTCCTGTGCGACCAGTGGCGGGGGTGGAGAAGCCATTTGGGCCATGGTTGAGAGCTGGTCGTCGGCGGGGATCGGCTCTTGTGGTGAATCGATGGGTGGTGTTGGATCCCACACTTGTAACGGTTGACAATCATGGGTCATTAACTACGGCAAGTGAGGGAGTCTGGACAACATTTAAATGCATCTTTAAATGAGGGTAATGAGGGAGTAAAGGTAGATATGTAAATGAGCAGGGTGAGGCTGAGGGCGTGGTGGTTATCGATCCTAAGAGGCGTAAGGTTGAGGGGGAAGGTGAGGGAGAGGTATGGGGTAGTCCTATGATTACTGAAGGTCAAAATATTTCTTATTCTGATGAGGTGGGTCCTGGAGTCCAAGCCCACCAGGCCGAATGAGTTGCTTCAGTTGGAACTGTCGTGGGCTTGGGAATCCTACGGTAGTTCATGTGTTGTTGGGCTTTATTCGTTAGAAAAAGCCTTTGTTTTTTTTTATCGGAGACTTTAAATAATTCGTCGGTTATGGAGCGTGTTCGTGTTCGATTGGGTTTTGATAATTGTTTTACGGTGAATGCGGAAAGTCGAAGTGGGGGCCTAGCATTGCTCTGGAACGGAGGCTTAGATGTTGAGGTGGTAAGATATGCCAACCACAATATTGACACAAAGGTCCGGCAAGGACCTCTTATATGGAGATTTACGGGATATTACTGCCACCCCGAAAGACATAATCGCCATCTCTCTTGGGCGACTCTCAGGTACCTCACCACTCTTTATTCCCTTCCTTGGGCTCTTATGGGGGACCGCAACGATATCTTGGGAGCTTGGGAGAAAGTGGGCAGAGTTCCACAGCCTCGATGGCTGGTTAGGGGGTTTCGAGAGGCAATTCGGGATAGCGGGTTAACTGACTTCGAGTTTGAGGGCCACTAGTTCACGTGGGAACGTGGGCGGGGAACGGAGGCTTGGGTTCATGAGAAGCTAGATAGAATTCTCATTAGGGGAATGGAGGGACTCGTTTCCTCGGGCGAGGGCATGGTCTTTAGAAAGAGGAAGTAGTGCTTATATGCCTTTATTTTTGTTGATACAAGGGGTTAGAGAGCATAGATACCCGCGTAGACCCAGGTTTGAAATTCTTGGGGAGACAGCGCAGAATGTCGTAGGGTTATGGAGGATTTTTTGGCTTCTGGGTATGAGGGGGATTTAGCTGAGAAACTGGTCCATTGTGGCCGGCGGGTGTGGGAATGGGGGAGGCGTCAAGGGAGTAGTGATGAATTGGAGTTGAGACGTTGTAGAGACCGGATGGAGTGGTTAAGGGGTGCAAGGGTTTCTAATAGCGTGAGAGAGTTTGGGGATGTTCAAAGGAAATATTTGGCTCTTCAAAAGGCCCAATGTGATCGATGGAGGCAACAAGCGAAAGTGAGGTGGTATAGAGGGGGGGGGGGGGTGTAACACCCCACTTTTCTAACTCTTAATTACATCTCTAAACAGACATTAACATAAACTATGCAGCGGAAAACTAGAAGATAAGTAGTGGGAGTGTCACCGCCACAATCACCATTCTTTGGTGATTGCACAGGCAAAAATGGGTAAAACTACAAATAAGATTAAGTCTGGGTACTAAAAATAAATACTGGAAAAGTAAGGTGGAAAAACGTCACCCCAACACAGTCTACAACAATCCTCAAACATAATATCATAAGTCTAAATCCATAACATGATCAAAAATAAAACGAGAGTTTAGACATCTCAAACTACGAGACTAATCTAACTCGATCTCTTCTCACTGCTGGGCCCACCTGAAAAGGGTTTTGCAAGCAACAGATAGACAAACAGGAAAAACACCCGTTAGCACGAAGCTAAGTATAACCACACTCAACCTTGTAAAGCATTCTAGCATATACTTTGAAAACATTTGATATCTTTATGCAATAAGCTAATCTCAAAACATCTTTAGATTATCATATTCTTTCTAAATGCTTGCACCCTATAATATCAGTTGGCATGCTTATATATGTATAAGACTGATCATGTATATTCTTCTACATATAGACTTCTCAAATAGCTTATCAAGCAATTCATGCTTACAATAGGATCATGTTAAAGGACGACTAGTACAAAATTGAACATAGAAGATTGACCATAAACGACCATTGTTGAAAGAATAATTGTCTAAACTTAGCCCAAAGAATCGCGGTGGCAATTTTATAAATAAGTGATCAATAAGCCACCACCATTATTAACTGTAATGGTTGCTCATTGTATTTTGTATTTATTTTAAAAGAAATTGATTTATAATAGGCAACTATTTTTAATAAAAATAGTTGCCTTAAAAAAGAACTTGTTTTATAATAGGCAACCATTTCTAATAGAAATAGTTGCCTAATATTAACCCTAGATCTACCCACCGGGTCAAAATCTATCCTCTCACACTACTCTCACCCCCGCTTCAAAACCTATCACGTACAGATAGAAAGCTCTGCTCCGATCGACACCGTCTCTGCCTCGATCGTCTGACTGCCGGACACCGCCCGCCACAACACCCACCGCCACCACGCCGTTGGCCTGCGGCGACGCCACTCACCGCGACGCACCACCACACGCACAACACCATCGTCCACCGTCGCACGCCCCCACCTGGTCGCACCGCCACAGCCGCCACCCCCGTCGACGCCACAGCCGCCATCCCCGCCGACGCCACTGCCGCCTCCCCAGCCGACGCCACTGCCGCGCCGCTTCTCTCGCCGACGATCTGCAGGTTAGTTTTATTTTATTTTTAATTGTTTATATATATATATATATATAGCCGACGCCACTGCCGCGCCGCTTCTCTCGCCGACGATCTGCAGGTTAGTTTTATTTTATTTTTAATTGTTTATATATATATATATATATATATATATATATATATATATATATATATATATATATATATATATATATATATATATACTTACTTACTTACTTGTTTAATTATATATATAAGACCTCAAGGGAGTAAGGTCTCGTCGAGCTCGATTCCAGAGAGTCTGAGGATCAATCTACAAAGTACGAATTGCTCCATAAATTTGATTTCTTGCTTATCACTGTTAGCTTTATAGCCTGATTCAAACTGGATTTATGCAATTGAAAGCACAATTGATACTTTAATTGATTAAATTATATATATATATATATATATATATATATATATATATATATATATATATATTTTTTTTTTTTTTTTTTTTTTGAAATATTAGATGCATTAAGGAGTAAGGCTATGAAGAAATTCGTTGTGAAATTGAGATGTTGCAGCAGTTTAGTCATCCAAATGTTGTTCATTACCTTGGGAGCTACCAAGGAGAACTGGAGAAGAGTACCTTTGGGTGTGAACTAGGGCATTTACCTAAAATCTTAACATATTCTTCAACCGGCTTACTCATCCGGCTAACGGAAAACTCTCCATTTTTGACCGGTAAGTTTATTTATATATTTTAATTTAATTTATTTCAAATATTATTGTTATTGTGATATTAGTAGCCAAGATTGATTAGTGTTGTGATGTGCTCTGCTTCATCGTATACTGTTTTTATAAATTACCCAAGTCTGGCTACTGCTTTGTATTATTGGGGTCAGGAGAGGTATTTCTGCAATGTGGATTGTCCATGATTTGTTAATAAACAGTATCTTATTGGCTATGTACTCATGTAACTGTTTTTATACTGTTTGCTGTTGTGTTGTGTTGTGCTCTACTTCATTGTATGAACCTTATCAAGCATAGTGTGATTGTTCGCATATTGGGAAGTACTTTATTGATTGAATAACATTTTAGCAAACAAAAAAGGCCAGTTCTTTAAACACTTGATTGTTTAGAGAAAATCTGTACTATTTTATTATTATTTTTTTTTATCAAAAGGTGATCCCAATCAAACAGGGAAATGAATGGAACAAATAAAAAAAGATTGAAGCTATGGTTTTTCTGGGATGCAAAATGTTATAGGATTACTCCATCACGTACCCCATCATTGGAGAACTACTATTGACTATATATTACGTACGTACATACTGTGATCATTAGTTTTGTGCTTTTCATTTTAAGTGAGATTCAGTACACTTTTCTTTCCTCCTTTATATACTAACTTGTGCAATCAAACTTGGATTCATTCTCCCAGAAAAGGGTGTGCTATCATTTTTAACCCTGTGGTGTGGTCATGGTTGTTTCTCTATTTTGGCTAAACAATCTTCTCATCTTTTTAGTTTTCTATTTTCGTAATAATAATCTGTTTTTGGCATTGAGGCAATTTAATACATCTAGTATATAATTTTTAGGGTATTAGCATTGATGCAATAAGTATTGGCTGAGGTCTAGGTTGTTGGCACTGATAGATTTAGGTAAAGATAGAGCACTGCAACAAATGATTTGCATGTTGTATTGTTGATAATGCCCTTCTGGCCTATCTTTTCATCTATGGAGAGGGAAGATATATCAGCTTTTCCCTGTAAAGACTTAAATATTGGATTAGGTATGATTTAGGTTGTTTGCCTTCATGACCTAATCCATGAATATGATTTTAGGATATTTGCTTTCCTGTTACTCCTTGTAAAGTGTTAAATAGCCTTCATACATGTTCTAATTGCTAAATTTAATTATTTCAGGGTCTGCACATATGACTTGGAAGGAGAGGAAGGACTTGGAAAACAAAAAAGTGGTTTCTCTTGGGGGAAAGGTGATCCCTTTTTTCTAGAGCATTGGTGTTTGGTGTAAAAGTAAATGTTTCTTTTCATTTGTTGTGCAGCCGCCAAAGAAGCAGAGACTACCACTCAGTGTGGCTCGAGTGATGATGAAGAAACAGAAAGAGAGGGAGCAAAAAGAGTTAGAAGAGGTTGGTTACTTGTTCCTAGCCCCCCCTTTTTGTTCCTTCTGTTTTCTATTTATTCTTGTTTTGATTGTTTTGCTTCAGTTCAAGTTTCTAAATCCTGTGGTCCTAACTATTTGTTTGTACAGAGTTTAATACTAAGGCGATTTGGGGTAAATTATGGCTCTAGCTCTAGAAGAGTTGCTTAAAGGCGCAACCCAGAGGATAGGGTACTGAAATCGAGTGATCGTGATCCCTTTCTAGACGGACAGATGGTGGAGGAGTATACTGTATACGGCGGTATTGGTGGCTGGAATGGCGGTTCCGGCCATGTGACTTCCAAACCGGAGAGACACTAACGCGAAACAGGCATAGGGTTCTCCAGAGAACATTCTCTATTGCCCTTCATACTCTATCTCTTCTTCTTCTTTGCTCAGGTTCACTTCTTTTCCCTTCCTCTTTCTTCCATACAATTCTCATTTTATTTTATTTTCTGTATTTATTTATGGCGCACATCGTAAATAACACAAGTAATCTTGCAAATGTATGGGATCAACAACAAATGTGGCTTCTGATTTAGAAAAAATTAAATAAAAATTCCACTATATATAAGACAAATTAAAAACTTGAAATAATGTGGTTAATTGTGTAAAAAATTAATATGAATTTGTATATGACAACTGTCCATCTGATGTTTGTAGATGTGTAGCGGATAAGACTAAGATGGTATTTCTATTTTGATTCAATAATTTTCAATTTCTTTTTTTTTTTTTTTTTTTTTTTTTTTGTGTTGTGGTTATTAGAAAGCTGTGATAGTGCGATTGATATGATCACCATAATGTTGATGAAGAGCATTACAAGGGAGATGAAAGATGTGAAGGAGGGGAAAAGAAGGATAGGGCAGGAAGGGAGGCAATGGCAAAGCAGGAAGTGCAATCACATGCCCCGGCACGTTCCACCGCTGCAATCAATTTTTATATCTTTTTCCTTTACACCCGTTTTGAATAGCTCTTTTGGGGAAATTAAAATCAAATATTTTCTTTTGTAGCTTTTAATTATTTTTAATTTAGAATTGTAAATATGTAATTGTATATGCTGTAAAATAATAAATATAGTTTTAAAATTATTTTTATTTATTTTTTTATTTTTTTAAATCAACAATACGCGACCATTTCTGACCAAGAACGGTCATGTAAAACTTTTGTAAAAAAATATAAAAAAACAATACGTGATCATTCTTGGTCAAGAATGGTCGCGTATTACTAACAATGCGCGACCATTGTGTCGATGCCTTTCCGCGAGCCTCTTATAGGCGACCATTGTCTTTTATAATGGTTGCCTATTTGCAATTTTGTACTAGTGGACTATACCACATGTATTTACATGCTTTCACATTCTTACCACATAACTTGATAAGTGGAACTTCTACTACAACACGATAATCATGCTCAAAGAATATCTCAAGTTAAACTTCTCATTAAACAATCTTTTACGATGCTCTAATTGTATACAATCATGTATAACATTATGATCATGCTTCTTATGCAATCTAGTGCAACAATATATCCATACTCATATGCAATCTAGTGCAACCATATAATCATACTCTTATGCAATCTCGTGCAACTATATAATCATACTCTTATGCAAGCTCGTGTATCAATAAAATCTTACTCTTATGCAATCTAGTGCAACAATATAATCAGACTCCTATGCAATCTAGTGCAACAATATATTCATACTCGTATGCAATCTCGTGCAACAATATACTCATACTCGTATGCAATCTCGTGCAACAATATACTCATGCTCATATGCAATCTAGTGCAATAATATACTCATGCTCATATGCAATCTAGTGCAATAATATAATCATACACTCATATATAAATTAGAGTACTTTCTGTGGAGGTTTCTTTGTTACTTTCTCGAGTCTCTCTTGACTCTCTTTCTTTATATCGAGTTTTTATTGACTCTCATACTTGAGTCTTTGTTGACTATCTTTCTTGAGTCTCTGTTGACTCTCTTTCTTTCTCTTATGCTCGTAGACGGCTTAGGGTTTCACATAAGTGTGACTCACCCCATCGGGAACGACATAATTCTGACCCAATATCTCCTACCGTCTACAGAACCAATCTCGTGGTTCAAACTCTATGAAATCAGGTATCAAGCTATTAGTGTGCACACCCCCTAACCAGGATTCCAAGCCTGGCGGGAAGTTTCCAACCTCGTAACGTGGGAATACGTCGCGTTACATATACTGGGACCGCAATGTCCATAAATATCTCCCGAGAGGAACATAGTCCAAATGGTATCCTCCAAAACCTCACTGATATAGATAATACATAACTATATCTCTCATACATTAACCTCATGCATGCAACAATTCTACTACTTCTCAATGCATCAAAGAAAGATATACCACATGCTTATGGTTTTTGAAAGTATTCTTGGACTCACGTTGGTCCTTTATGCATCTTTGAAATATGACTCATGTGAAATGTCAAAATGCTCTAAAATATGCTTATAAGTCATGTATAAACTAACATGAAGTATTCAAGGATATATCATCATGCTCGGTTTGCAAAATAGCAATTTCTATACATTTTACACAACAAGTATGCTTTTATTCTCATTGATCAAATAATACAATTTAATCATGCTTTCATAATAAATCATATTCTCAAAGGATCTTGCTTATATACTCAATAAAACATTATCAGATCACGATAATCAACAATTTCTCAAACACAGAGAACTTAGCAAAATATGCACTTTGTAACATTTCTTCACAAAATCCTTCTTAACATACTTGTTTTAATTCAAATTCCACGAAATCAAAGCCAAAACGAGCGTCGAGACGAACCTGAAGAGCCGAGCCACAAGGGCTCGTAACACTCGGTCCAAAATGACACGTAGCTGAGCCACAAGGGCCCGGCCACTACACAAAATCCTTCACAGCCAAAACTTAGGGACCTGGGGCGGGACTCTTCATAGTGCCGGGACTAGACAACGGTCCTCCTCTAGGGCCGTGCCCTAGTCCCGTGCCACCACGGCTCTAGCCGGAAGCCCTTCTGATGGGCCGTGGCTAGCGCCGTCACTTTGATCTAGTGCACACTGTGTTGTGCACCAGATGCGATTTTACCTGTAAAAACTCATCCAAACAATTCCAAAACAATCTCAACAACTCACAAACACATACTAGATCACTTCTAAGCATAAACACATCAAAAGCTCATAGTTTTTACTCATTTCTACTCAAAACTAGGCTTCACAGAGCCAAATCTAAATAGGAATCCATGGGGTTATACCTCTTGTAGTCTAATCTTCTTGCTTGGATCTCTTCTTTCTCTTGACCTAGCTTGAGCCTCCTTCACCACCTACACTTCCCAACACACCTTCTATCCTTAGCCTAGAACCTCAAAGACTAAAGAAAACTAGAAAAGAAAAGATGCTAGAATGAAGGATGAACAAGCTTACTAGGTTGTTGTCTTTCTTCTTGTTGTTGGCAGCCAAGAATATGAGGAAGAGGCAAAGAATGGGATCAGGAAAATGAGATGGAATGAAGGGGTTTATATAGAGTTCAAAACCCTAAGATGATTCACAATGATTGATTGAGGACAAATGGGTAATTTCCCAAGCTAAAAGATGATTCTATAAGGGATTTTGGATGTCTTGTGGTCCACCATGTAACATGAACCATAGGCTAGAAATGTTATCTTTTATTACTTTGGGGTTGAAAGTGAATTTTCCCAAAAGCTATATGGATGAACACTTGTTCAAAATTCCGTTTTGAATTCTCCCGGTCTCACTCAGATAAAATTCTCGATTTAAATCTTGGTACGCGAAGTACCCGGAAACTTTGGAATTATCAAATGAAATTCATTTCTTCGGTATCGATTTAATTTTAAAATTGGACAAAATTAATTTATTCAAACACCGATTGATCGCAAAATTTTTTAATGGAGTGAAAAAGCTACTTTGGAATTTCTTAATACTGGATTTATAAAATGAAATTTTGGGTTGTTACACTCTATCCCCCTTAAAAGAAGTTTCGTCCCGAAACTTAGAAGAAACGGGTGGATCAAGTTCTCGAAGAGAAAAGGTGATATAACCAAAAGGTTAGAATTTTCTGCTGGAAGACTTGGGAAAGATTTAGGAATCTCTGAGTTCTTATCTATCTTATCTAAAATCTAACAATTGCACCAACTAATCTATAACTGAACATAAGAGCTTAACTAGTTACCTTGATTAAAGCCTCCCGAGGAGTCGCCTGGTGGCATGTAGCTTGGATCCCAACCATAGGGAGTCCATCTCTGTACATTCTCAATCCCCATCCTTTGCTCCATGACTGCAGCCCTTTGATCAAAGTCTGCAGAACCATAGCTCACATGAGCACTTAGATTGTCAAAACGGTTGTTGATTGGCGAGCTGTCGTAGGCTCCCAAATTAAAACCTTACAAATGTAGTAGCGGGAGTAAGGGTCGATCCCACGAGGAGTAACTAGTTTAACGTATGTGCTCAAATTAAAGGAAAGGGGGGTTTGGTATGAAAGTGATAATCAAACTAAATAAACGAATAACGCAATGAAAACAATATATTGAAAGCACTTATAATAGAAAACCTTGGTTAGTAATGATCCACCACCGAAATTTAACACTGATCATTGATTCAAAAGGTAATTAATATGCAATTGAATATTTGTCGTGAAATTATTTCATTTTCGTTTTCCCTTAGTTGTAGGTAACTAAAGCACACGCAGTTTAATTACCCCTAACTACTAAACAACCTAAGACAAGCGCTATAGATTTAATTAGTTAGCAGCAATAGGAACTAGAAAAACAGACAAACTAAATAACACAAGCACATGCGGTTGCATTTAATTTAGGAAAATATTCTACCCGAGTCCAATTATCATTAAGCCGTCAATAATTAACCCAATTGTTACTGAATATTAGAATAATTAAATGACACAATTATTCAAATAACTTAGAAGAATATTTAATACCCAAATGCATAAAAATTATATAATAAAAATAAATAAATAATCTTACAGCATAATCAATTCTGGGGCTTCAATTCACTAAACCAAGCTAAAGAAATTAGCCACGAATGGACATTGACAACAACTTTAAAGAATAATTGAGAAAGGAAGAATGAACATTTTACAATAGAAAAGTTTTACTATTTATATATTTCCTAAATTAATTTCTACCACCCATTTTCTACTTTTGGGCCTGTACGATGAATCTTCCATTGCTGCGCATGAACCGGTCGATGAAGAACCCTTTTTCCCATTGCTTCATTACGTATGCTGCTCATGGGGGGAATAAATAACATTAAACTCATATTAAACTTATGTTTAGTAATTGAACCAACAAACTAATATTAAAATAAAGTAAAAAAAACTTTGCAGCTAAAAACTTTTGTGTTTAAAATGTAATTTTATAACTAAATATTATTATAAAACCCTTATTTAACTAATTAATTATTAAACTCTAAAACAAAATAATTATTATATAATAGTAAATAACTAATGCAAAATTATTAAAAAGATGTGCGTAAAATAAGAGTATAAAATATGTCTATCAAATTCCCCCACCCTAAAACGTTTGCTTGTCCCCAAGAAAAAATATTATTTGCGAAGTAAGTTAAAATGAAATTCCCAAAACTCATAACACAGCATGAACAACAATCTGAAGCACCCTGCAATTAATAAGTTAGCACCCCTGTCTGAAAATTGAGAGAACTAAATAAGTAAGCCCTCACAGGAATATCACTCATCACTCAAGTGTTTGATGTGTATAAATTTCACTCAAGCTCATTCCTATAAAATTGCTCTACCATAGACTTGCATATCTTCTCAATCACCACTACAAGAGTCA